CACTCTGGATTACCTATATCTTCATGTTGTTGCCCGTAATCGTCCACTAAGCCTTCTACGGTTATCCATTGTTTCTGACTGGATCTCTCCTGCTTCTCTGTAAGTCTGATTTCATACCCCACAGGACTGAATTCATTTTCATCCACAGAGTCATTTCTCTCCGACATAGCTAATTTGATTAAGTCTTTCAAATGTTCAGTTCGTACTACTAAGTCGCATATACGTATTCCATGAGTTCGTGTACACAAAAGATACGCGCAGTGTAGCTAAACAAAATACATATCGTTGTCACTATAGTCTATAAAGTATGACAAAAAAACATACATACTTAAGAGTTAGTTCTCTCCTAATCTCCTTACTAAGAAAGTTTTACTTTCTTTCCCGTTCGATTGGTCGTCCTCCAAACAGCCTTTTTTTGTTTCTTTGTGTGTTTTTATTGGCTGAATTTAACAACTCAGGATGGCCTGAGTGACAGGCCTGGGGGTTGGGGCCTGGGGCTTGACCGGCCGGTGTGTTGGGCTGTTGGCACTTGGCCGTTGTGTGACGTGTGAGACTGTATGAGGATGTGGCTGTAATTTTATTAGTATTTGTAGGTGTGTGACTGTGTGGGCCTGTGAAGTGTGAGACCGTGGGGCCCGGGGCGGCGTGGCCCCTGGCCCTGGGTCAGAGTGTCCAGGACTTTACTCCAGAGTCCAGTTCATTTACTATTTGGTGACTAGTAGTGAGTCATAGACTGAAGACGCTCGATCCACTCAGAAGTTTAGAAGTTCAGAACATGCTCCTGAGAATCGTTGAGTGTTGAGAGAAGTAGAACTCAGAACTGAAAACTGAGGCCACTGACATTTGGCATTTTAAATTTCAGCGACTTTTGAGTTTTGAGTTTGGGTCCTTCGGCTTCAGCCTGATTCAGGCCTTCTCGAAGTTCTCAGGCTTTCAGCCGTGATATATTTTTATTACGTGAAATTGCCAAGAGACGACACACACGGTCTTGTTTTGTAAAGTATGTATTGTGGTCATGTGAATAGTCACTACTAATCTTGTGTATTTTAATAATTATATGTAGTAGAAGCAGCCAGAACGGTGTATTACAAAACTCTCCAGGATGAGTTCACACGTATGACTTTCCATGTACACCCAACTGAACCATCGGGCTGTAGCAGCCGGCAAAACAGCGAAACAGTGGGCACGTCGTATACCGCGTGTCTTGTACAAAGCTGCAGCATGCGTTGCAATCTGCTGTATCTTGGTATTCTCTCAGTTCAGCACCAATATTACCAGTTACCCAACTCACTTTGTAGCCCCGCGTAGTCCCACCAAAGCCAACATTTCGCCACCCAAACGAGCGCTTGCCATGACCTGCCCTAGTAGAGAGACCGCAGAGCACCACCCACTATTAGGCAGATGGATTCACAATGCTGCCGATCCCTTCCTGGGTGTATCTGCTGTGGCCGATGAGCTTGTGAGTATGCGATTCCCATATCCCATGTATGTGCTGGCATTCAAGAATGAACGGGATGCCACACGTCGTTGTCACGAAGTGGTGAACTCAGTTTCTGCGTCAGGCTTGGTGGTTAAATGCATTGAGTTGCCGCAAAACGTTCCAACAGGATATGGGTACGCGAAAATCGATGCAATGATGCACTTGACTACTGAGACAGATATAGACGAGGTTATCTTCCTGGATTGTGACTCCCTGCCGGTTGCCAACATGACCAATGTGTTTGCAATGCTGTCAAGTGGGGGCTCATGGCGTGGTGAGCTGCCACAACAACTGTCGCCATCGGTTGGCCATAGCGTAGATCACGTTGCTGCCGTGTTCTGGGGGGATATAGAGGGGCACTATGATCCGTCGATTAAGATTATCGAGCAGAAGTATTCAGCACTGCACAACATTGATATGGCACGGCGCCACGCCGCAGTCGAGAAATCAAAGTACTATGACTCTTACCATATGCGGATGGGATGCGACACGGGCATCATGCTTGTCAATCTGCGACGCTCGCAGGCTGCTTTGGAATTGCTTGTGGAGCTGAAAGACAATACGGTGTTTCAGGACGTGTCGTATGGCGATAAAGATCTGTGGCGTTTGGCGTATCACCTCACAGACACGCCGTTCCGACTGTCCCCATACGTAGGTGCGCTGGGATCGTTCGACAGCAATAAACAGTTCTTATTTGCGAGCCAAGCCAAGCACAACGACAACGGAGACATCATCTCGGTGCATCAGCTTTGGTTTCCCTCGAGGCACGAGCCGTACTTTCAAGCAATAGCCGCAAACGCCGACGAAGCACTGGAGTCCACACTCGGTGCGGATGTGTGGTACGTCCCTGCTGAACCGAGAATAGCCCTCTCGCCCAAGGAAAAAAAAACACGCTTCAGAAATTGTTTGATACGTATGAAGGACTTTATTGGGATAAGCTGGATCCCCACCCGACAAAGCATCTGGGGGCACGCGTCCACGTGCGCTTCTCTCTGGCAGAAAGGCCAGACTACCTGCCCTTGTACTTGGACGGGCTGTGGGAAAAATGGTCTGTGGAACTCGGCATAGATGAGCTATTGACCACGCCCAACCAGGTACTGGTCAAGCTCTATGCTCTGGCTGACAAGTGGGCGTACGCCGACTTCACTAAATACTTATGAGCGGTGACAGCGCAATTGCCCTGCACGACGCCCAGGAGAACCTCTGCAGTCGCTCCCTTGACTGCAAGCGGTGCTGTGGATCTCATGGTTCGTACACGACTAACTATGCCATTTGTATCCGTCTCTGTAATCCGTTAGAGGCACGCCAGTGCGCTAAGCACGTGCCATCAGGGCCAAAAGATCTCCTGAGGTCCTCCATGCCGACATGTATTAATGCCGCCGTATTTGCGATAGAACTTTGATAGAACTGTGTAGACCCATGATTCGCGTATTACTGCATAGACCCATGATTGTCGGTGTAAGTGTTGGAACGGGTTATAGACTTAGTTCATCAACGACATGGCAGAGGAGTATTCGGAAGTGTGCTTGGAGGCTGCGATGGGTTCTGATAACATCACGGTACTTGGAGAGAAGTGTCCACGTGTGCAGTAGACCCCGTTCCTTAGCAGTGCAGCGAGGACTCATACCGGTCGAAAGGAGCTCCAGTCTTTCAGTTGTCACATCCATATGCGCAGTAACCTATAATAACTGGAAAGTGTACCAACCTATACTTGAAAGTGCGGCGAATGGCTGGAACGCCCTCGATGAGTACAAACACACGGCATTTGGCGCGCTCGCTTCGCTCAACGCAGCTGGAGTGTTTACCATATCACAATGCATGTCAAATACACACTGCATGCTGGAGTGTTTACCATATCACAATGCCTGTCATATACACACTGCATGCTGGAGTGTTTACCATCTCACAATGCCTGTCATATACACACTGCATGCTGGAGTGTTTAATCACAATGCCTGGCATATACACACTGCATGCTGGAGTGTTTACCATATCGCAATGCCTGTCATATACACACTGCATGCTGGAGTGTTTACCATATCTCAATGCCCGTCATATACACACTGCATGCTGGAGTGTTTACCATATCTCAATGCCCGTCATATACACACTGCATGCTGGAGTGTTTACCATATCACAATGCCTGTCATATACACACTGCATGCCCCTGCCCAATGCCAGTTGCTGCAGGTACAACGCAAAGCAATCCCAACGGCGACGAAGAACTCGCGCCATTGCAGTTCAGCTACACTGTTTGGGTACATGTGTGTTATCCACTCAGCAGTCGATCACACCTCCCCACGTGACATGAGAGTGTATAGGCGCCACACTGCGAAGGTCAGTGCGCCAACGGCCACCCCTGTGGCGTGGGCGTAGTGATCAACGGAGTCATTGACATTCACCTGCGAGGCAACGAGAAACAACTCATCAGCACACGTACCACTGTGTTACAATACAAAATATAAACTGTAAGAAAGAAAGTGTACCCAACGCACCGTAGTACCATAGGGCTGTGTACTTGCACACTCTCAGGCCACATGTTGGTATTTAGTCGCTCGTTGATAGTCGGGATATATTAACTTGTGCACAGTCGGTGTACGGTCACTTGTGCGTAAGAGATATATTATCTTGTGCACAGTCGGTGTGCAGTCACTTGTGCGTAGTAAGAGATATATTAACTTGTGCACAGTCGGTGTACAGTCACTTGTGCGTAGTAAGGCCTGAGCCACCTACCGATTGCAGTTGCAGTAGATTGGTCACAGTGGCCAGCTCATTGCATATTATGCACAGATCCGTTAAACCAATCATATCCAAGTCATAGCTATCCGACGGCACCCCTCTACGCGTAGGACCAGACTGCCGCACAACACTCTGGTATCGTCTCCTGCTGCCACCAACTGTAATATCTGTCGAGATATTCCCATCGCCTGGAGCACTCGCTTCGTATGTGGGCGGTGATAGTTGTGATTGATATTGCGGTTGCGAGTGTGGCTGTGGCTGTGGTCGTGTGTGTTGCTGTGCGCGTGCGCGTGTTTGAGCCCTTTCTCCGGCGAGTGCAGAAGGTCTTTCCTCTGACGCTGTTTCGTACGGTGACGGAGGCACAGTGCTACGAGGAAGTTGCGAGAGGGAGTCAAGTGATTAAAACAGCCTGGAAACCATAGCACCTACACGTTCGGACTTTATATTGACCTCTACTACAAATAAAGATGATTTGTATTGGGTGTGTATTTGGGCGTGTACATAAACAGCATATATTCTGACCCGCTTACCCTAACCACAAACAAGCACAATTTGTGTGAGCTACAGACAGTGCACGCACTTACGCGTGAGTGGCGTCGTTTGTGCGGCGTCTCTGACTGCGAAGGACTAAGGGCCGTCTCGCGCGGTATTGATTGTACGTACGAATGAACACAGACTCAAGAAACAAACAGGCGTTGAACCCCATCAACCCTGCCACCCCCGCACTCGCCCCCAACAGCGGCACCTGCGAGTACAGCCAACACCGTCATGGCAATTGTGAGACAAGAGCTTGGCGATATTTATTTGACAAATCAGGAGGCTATATGTGTATATATATATATATATATATACCTAAAACCCTCTATATATCTATCTATCTATCTATCTATCTATCTATCTATCTTTATATCTATATATATATATCTAAGAGGCGCCCATGAACCTACTTATCTACAATGGATCATATCTCCTCTGTATGCTCTGTACCCCCATCGCCAGTTCGTACCTACAACAATCTACACCATGTGCCCACAAATACACAACACACCACACCGCAGCACCACCTGTCACTGCCAAGCACTCGCCCATGCCAAGACACACCGACACACCCCATACACATACACACCACTGTCACATACCAATACATGACACGCCCCATACACACCCACACCACTGTCACATACGAATTCATGACACACCCCTTACACATCCACACCGCTATCACATACCAATACATAACACACGCCTTACACATCAACCCCACTGTCACATACCAACGTCACATACCAACGCATGGCACATCCCTTACACATCAACACCACTGTCACATACGTATTCATGCTGGATCGTCGCGATCGATTCCAAATGCCAGTCCAAGTACTCAGAAACAGCTGTCACCACCGTGGGCATGCCTGGCACACTCTGCACCACAGACGGCAGCCATTGCACCAGCGAGTGCTGTACTTCGTCAGGTAGGTAGCTCAGCAGTTGGTCGGTGAACCTCTGCTTCGTCGCCTGCGGAGAAGCGATAGACAGCGAGGCAACACACGCAACGGGCGAGTGAGTGGGTGTGGGCATGTGTGTGAGGTCAGCTGCACAACCAGTGATTGACAGTATTGAATCACGCCGTTATTGAATGTTTGGCGATCGAATCACGGTACTATAGTGCAGAAGGGGCCAGCCCAACTGAGGCTCAATACACTCATCGTCAGAGCAATTCTGTGATACACACAAATGGAGCAACCCTTCACAAACACGCATGGTGCGACCATGCAAACAGCAAGTCCAACAATGTATCATGCAATGGCCATATGCCTCTACGAGTACATTAACACATACACACACAAAGGTAGCGAGAGAGAGAGAGAGAGAGAGTGTGTGTGTGTGTGTGTGTGCACTCACCTTCAGACGTCGCACCTGGTCTGTCCGCCTGTGCGACGTATCACACACGGCCAACGCACCCGACGACAGATACAGGCCCACCACACCCATCAGCCCCAACCGACCCTCCACCAACGGCCCATTTGCTGCCAACAGCACCATGTTGCTCGCCAGGTGTTGCAGCGTCTGTGTAGTGTTTGTGGCAGAGTGGATGGGTCAACAGGCGACGTTGAGAAGCAGAACGCGTGAAACGGGTCAGAGTACGAAACATGAACACTACTACCATTGGTGGGTGATACAGTGCACCATTGGTGGGTGTTACAGTGTACCATTGGTGGGTGTTACAGTGTACCATTGGTGGGTGTTACAGTGTACCATTGGTGGGTGTTACAGTGTACCAGTGGTGGGTGTTACAGTGTACCATTGGTGGGTGTAACAGTGTACCAGTGGTGGGTGTTACAGTGTACCAATAGTCGGTGTTATAGTGTACAGGCGCTACTGAGCAGTGTCCACAAGCTACAGTGTACCACCATCTAATAACAATCACACTCACATGTACCACCATCTGATAACAAATCACACTCACATATACCACCATCTACATATACCACCATCTGATAATGATCACACTCACACATACCTCCATGTAGTGATAATAACACTCACATATCGCACTAGCTATGCTCATGACGTACCATGTGTCCCAACATGTACGTGAAGTGAGTCAGAAGCCACGCCTCATGCGACAACCCTTGGCTGGTCACATAGTGGGCGAAATACTGCCGATATTCAACGGCTGATATGGCCACCTGTGGCCAAAACCCTTTCTCATCCCCTTCTACAACCTATACTTGTAAAGAAATGCAAGTAATGAGAACAACATACCAGCTAACCGTCATACCACCTATATATATATATATATGTATGTATATATATATATATATATATATATATATATATATATATATATATATAGTATAGTGTG